TTCAAAGGGGTGGCACCTCCGCTTCCTCTGCTATTGCCTTTTTCCTAAGTTCTCACTTGCAGCAGCTCATCAATAGTCCATTCCATATTTCAAAATACCAGAGAACAAGAAAACAGTTGGGTTTGTTGTTCTTTCCTCAGAGCTTCCTGAGGACGCCCCTGTTTGCTGTGACAGGGATTTCAGCCACTGGTCTGCAGACTGCAGCCCTGGGAGGCAGAGGTCACTCTACATGCAGGCAGCGGGCAGGCCTGCAGCACAGTTCCAGTGGACACTGCAGAACCGAAGCAATCATCCCGCAGGCCAGGGTGCAGGTAGACAGACCCAAAAGGCTCATTGGTGCCCCATAAAAACAAGGTGAAGCCGCAGAAAGAACTTGGGCGCTCCCTGGGCGCATTTACTTGTCAATCGAGAATATTTGCAAGCGCCTGGCAAAAGCGAGTCTGTGGCCTGAGCTTCAGGCAGTCAGGGGACGTTAATTACAAGTAATTCCTTAATGTCCTTCCCCAAACCTTCATGAATGATAGCCATTTTGCAAATTAAATCTCGCAGGTGTTTAAAGGGAAAAAAAGTAGACAGGTTAATCACTGGATTAACAGGGCAATTGTTACACATTTCTTCTGCACTACTAGGTTCTATAATTAAGTCTGAAACTGAGAATCTTTCCCAGGATATGTTCAAGTTTAATAAAAAGACCAACAGTCTAAATAAAATGTAACTCCAAATAATATGATAGACATGCTAATTAGCAATGGGTTTTTCCAAAAGAGATCTCTTCTAAGATCTAATATCCCTGTATATACAGGGTGTAGTTTGAAAGTAAAAGAAATTCTTATTTTACAATATTCCCCTCATTGAATATTTATTATTATTATCATGATTGTTAGGAGATCTTAAGGACATCATCTGCAAATGTTGTTTCTATCTATAGAAACTTTTTATATTTAATTCATTCTTATTCTTATCTCTTATTCACATAGGTTTCTTCCCATTATGGTCTGTTGGGGAACAGCACCATTATGATATTGAAGAAGTATTTCTATCTATTCTTGTCTCAAATTATGGAAAAAGTAGAATAAGGAAGCAAAACTTTCGTGCCCTCAGGAATTTGTGTCTATTACTAAAGTATCAATGCCACTAATCCACAAAGAACACTATAAATTTGAGATCTGAACAATGAAAGAAAACAATCATCCTTTACATTGCCTGCATTGGCCATTTGTCTTGAGTTTTGATTTCCTGCTTGATTTGTGGACATTAGTTTAGAAAACAGGATACTTCCTATGCAGAAGGAAAAAGATCAAATACAGGATATTTGGAAATGACTACTATTTGTGGTCTTGTTTGTTACACTCATTTTTAAAGGGATAATGGTTACAAGGCATTACTCCCTTAGGAAAGAATATTGTTAAGTGTCTGTTATTGTGCAAAGTAAAACCGGGATTAGTTAGACTAAACGCTTCAGCATTTCTTGCAAAACCACTAAGGAGTCTCTGCAACTTTCCAAGTCCTAGGTGAATCGCTTGGCTAGAAATGTGCTCAAGTCCTTCTCTACTTGTGGCTCAAAAAGGGGCTGGGAAAAGAGGGAGCTATTAGTTCCCTGAAAAGTCCCTAGTGCATCAAGTAATGAGACTGACATCCCATTGTTTGGCTAACGCCTATAGACTACAAAAGTATTTGTCTTATCCACTGTTTCAAAACCTTTTGAGCCAGCGATTGAGTCTGTTGTGGATAAGGATTCTACAAAATATAAGTATGAATTAACACTATACACTTCTTAGAGCCAACATCCTAAAATGTGTAAGCTAGTAGTTAGGTTACTTAAATGAATACAGCTGTGACTCACAGTCCTCTCCTAGCAGAAGCATTTTGAAGAAAGCCTACATACTTATAGCAATCCAAACTCTTGAAATAAAATTTTAAATTCGGTTTAAAAAATATAACCTACAGGCCATAAAAGGTTAACTTGGCTTCAGTCCATCCCACCTTACTTCATAGTGCCAGGGTTTCTGAGATATGCAGGTGACATTCTTAACCTAATCCATCAGACAGACACGAGATCCAAAGAGAAAGGAAGCTTCAAGAAGCAAATGAAATTTAAAGAGCCAATTTTCAGTGGGCCTTCATTTTCAGAGTTGGGCTATTTTTGTCCCTGTTTTTAGCAGAAAATCAGTTCCTGCCTCTATACCCAAGCATTTGTGAAAAGGATAGCAGAGGAACCACAGGCACAGCTGTCCAATTTACATTCACAAATGCAGGTGTTGCTCAGACACAAAACAGAGGTCAACTGAATACTGCTCCTAATTAGCTACCTTTTCTACTAGGATTTTTCTTCGTAAAGTTATGCATGCAATTTGGGTTCAACATAGAGACCATTTTTAGATCCCAGCATGCTATCCACCAAGAAGCGGGCTGTCATTATAAAGCATAATTTACAGCATAGTTAATTTTACATGTTTTTTAAAATCTACATTATACCTAAGGCAAAATTCTGCTCTGCACACACATTATTCACCCTGTTTTCCATCCACTTCTCAATATTTAAAAGTGTAGAATTTAGCCTGAAAATCTTTTATGTAGGAATGGGAAGAATTTTGTCCTTTTTCTTAGATTACGAAAGTCCACCATTTTAATAATGAGGACTAAAGACTGAAATGATATGCGAAGAGAAGTAGCTATTCGCTGTTGTCTTCAATGGGGAACACCCTGGGGCTTATTACAGCAGTTCTTAGAAATGGCAGGATGAAGACTGGTATCTAATACAATCCATTAGGAAACCCAAGCCCTAAATGAAATGACCACAAAATCCTATCAGTTAACAGAAATGCAGCAGCTGTACATGTTTATTGTAATACAATAGGATATTGTTGCAGAGATAACACTCTTAAAATTGAAAAAAAAAAAAAAAGAATCCAGCAAGCCATGTGACCAATTTATTCCTCTATTTGAAAAATGAGACCATACAGTGTGGCAGAGCTTTAAATACATAAATAAGCATGAAGATTGCAGAGAAGACAGGTATTGTATGTATACTAATGGGCTGCTAGGATCAGCCGTCAAAGTCACTGGCTAAACTTCAAGCCACTGCGACTCCCAGGTTTTGCGGGGTTGTTCAAAGACCCACCCCAATAACTCCTTGCAGGATGTGAAAGGTAATGGACCTCCTCCCCCTGCTGATTTTACCTACTATAACTATTCCAAATGCTAATTCTTATCTTAGCTCCCAGTTCTCCATTTTTCAACACTATACACTACGGAAGTTTAAATTAAGTTTGACCTTAAACTTTATAATGATGTAATATTATATATATTTTATTTATATTACATTTTATCTTTTATAAAGTATTCTGGGCTGTTGTTCCACATTGAATCAGGTGCCTTTCTTCAAAGGCTTACTGAAGTAAGATCGCTTTGCAAAGTGTAACATGGATCACCAGGATTGTGACACAACCATCTTGCTTGATTTTATTTACTACAGGCAGTCCATCAAGCTTCAGACCCATAATCCTTCTGAATCATAGAAAGACGAAAATCCCTGTTCTACAGCCATCTTATGGGATGGAATGCAAAGTATTTTGTTGTGGTAAGTAGGGCTTTGAAGACAAAAGCGCTGGGTCCACTCCTGTGATTTGTTACCCCAGTGGTCAGCATTCAAACTGGGAGCCCCAGGGTCTCAGAGATCATTTTAATCCTCCTATATTAAAACAAAATGTGTCTCCCATGTGTTACTCTAACCACTCCCCCCTCTGAAGCCTCACTGGCCTCTCCCAAGGGAAACTGAACTCAACTTGTGACTGTCCCAAAAGAATTCCAAACAATTTCCTTACTTGCCTCTCCGTTCCAGTGAAGATTATGAGCCTAATTCTTACAGACTGCCACTAAAATTCCACCCCACTGAATTCTGCAGCCTAATTCTTTCAGCATTATGTTTTTTGGCAGAATGATGTGACCCAAATTTGCAGGAGATGATTTGCTGCAACAGTGCTTCTTGCAATGCAGTGAGCCCAAGATTAGCATTTCAGGATTGCAAATATCAGACTTAAAAAAAATAATAATTGTTTGCTTCAAGAAAGGACAGATTTTGATCTTGTATTATGGAAATGGAAATATTTAGCAAAATGTGGACGATTTTATGAACTAAGAAAGCTTTACAGATCGATGGAAAATAATCAAGAACTAGCAATTTACTTCAGTAATTGGTGGCAAAATGCTATAGCGGTCCTTTAAAGATTAAGAAATTAGCTGTGTGTGTATGTACACGTGTGTGTGTGATGGTAAAAACATCATGCATTCCATTTCCCAACAGTGGTGGCTAATACTATTCCAAAAGAAGATTTTTAGACCTAAGATGTCTTAAAACAAAAAAACAAACCAAAAAAAAAAACTATAACTATGGCTGTTCCTGTGTTTACCCACCATGCTTCTCACATACTCTTGGCTGTATGAGCAATGTTGATTCAGGTATTCATTATTTCACCTTTTCTCAATGTCAATCAACTTTAATATAAGGTGTCAAGAGAGACTTGACCTGTTTCTTGATTAGAATTTGTGGATCAGATTTTGGAAAGAGCCAGAGCAATATTCCCATTGGGAACCAATATTACACTGAGTGGACTAAAGCTTTCTGGCCATGCTTCTGTGGCTAGTTTCTCAGCCTTTATAAGAAATCCCTATGACTTATCTTTCATAGACTCTAGTCTATGCACTCTACTACTGGAGAGACACTGTCTCATAGGATACCAGCTGCCATCACTGTGTCCTCATCAGATTCATTCACCCTCTCAGAATTCAAACACCAAGACCAGAGAAACTGAAGAACAGGTTACACATTAGAAGGGGATTCCTTATTCCAAAAGGTTAAGTATGACAGAGAAAGAGAAGAGACAAATCAGAAAGAATAAAAGTAAAAGGTGCGCAGTGTTTTCAGCAAGAAGCTAAGAGGCACACGTGCGCACGCGGCCTGGTGAGGCCTGTGTGGGCCGCCTCTCTCTACGGGCTCTTACCTTATTTCTCTTGAAGTAGGCTCGTCGGCAGGCCGCAAAGCACTTCTCGCTGCAGAAGCTTTTCACCTCACTTCCCATACTCAGGGAATAGCGCTTGATTCCCACTTTCTGGCACCAGGCACACATTATTTGTACATTTGACACATCATCTTCTATAACAAAAGTATAAGAAAAATGTTCATATCAGAGGCAAACATCCCTTCAAACTTAGACACACCCTGAACCTGACAGAGCTACTGGAGGTCTGATTTTCATTTCTGTACCTCACCACTTTCTGACCACATAGGATGGCCAACTCTTGGTAAGAAGACTCAGTGCCTTTTTTCGTTGTCTTTCTTTTTTTTTTTTTTTGGTTAGCTCCTAAGTTTCTGAAAGACATCATTTACTTAAAAACCAGAACACAACTGCAGAGCCACGAGTGTTCCCAGGGCTTCTTAGCCTGGTAAAAATGCTTATTCTGCCTGGTTAAACCAGGCTCGGTACTAATGAAGCTTGTAAAATGACCCATGTCTTCAGAGGTACTGCTGAAAGCCTACAAGATCTGCAGGGGTGGGACATCCAGTGCTAACCTACAAATGTGATGCCCTAACGTGAACTTGACAGTCAGGAGCCAGGCTCAATCTTAGCATGTTCCCTATTACTGTTACATGATATGGGGTGTTGTCTACTCTTGCAATATAATGATTCCCAAGTGATATGGTTAGTCAAAAAAGGAAAGACATGAGTGGCCGGATTCTGCTGACAGAAAGGCACTAGCCTAACGCACTCAGCAGTCTCCTACGACGGGGTGTCCTCAGGGAAGCACAGGCCTGATTTAAATTCTCCTCCGTGGGATATGGTTTGTGGTCCCTGGATGGGGGGATGGTAATGGGGGTGCAGCCATGAGACCTGAGGTCACAAGGCTGCCCAGATCATTCTCAGCCAGATTTGTGGTCCTCACGGCTCCTGGAGGACCTGTCACCCATGTCATGGGCATGCTCAGAATGATGTTAGGTGGTATGCAAATATTTTCAATATTTAAAATACTGTCTTTCTTTTCCTTTGTAGGAGAAAAAAAGTTTAACTAGCACAACAAGGCCACGAGATCACAAATATTACTCCTTAAAACAAAGGCTTTTAAAGTGAGGTGGTTAATAAAATATATTGAGTAAATCATAGTGCAGGTGGTAAGAACTTAGGACAAAAATGTGATGGTGATATTCAAATGACTGAAGTCTGGGAAACATGGGCCTCTTTGCGGGGGAATAATAGGAGACTTTCAGTAGAAGTCTAAGAAATATTTCCTTGCTGCCTCCTAAGGGCTTTTGCTGTATCTTGAGCTTTCTCGGTCCTCCCAATTGAAAATGTGCGTGTGTATGACTGATTGCCACTATTAGCCACATCTCTTCTTCCTTTATGGATTTTTTTCTTGTACTAACCCAGACTCATGCTCCAGACATGAATGGTAATCACAAAATCCCCAACAAGCTCTGGTAAAGTGTTGTCTGATTTCTGAATAAAATCCCCCAAAGACTAATTGCTAAGCAAGGCCTGGTCCATGAGTTGTTGACATATTCATGGTTCATAGAGTCTGTCATGCAATCATTCCATTTCCAAGGAAAAGATTTGGTTTGAGGCAGTGCGGTCATCACCCTGCAAAATTAGAAGCAAACTAATTTGTAGTCCAGTGATATGGCTTTTTTCCCCCTTGAGTGTCATCACTCAGAACTATGTGCAGCATTTTATTTACCTTAATGGAATAAATATTGTCATTTTCATGACTATTTTGATTTCAAAAATACATATTGTGATTTATTGGTTAATTATCAAATGAGATGGTGTAAAAATGACCTTTCATGTTAATCAAACATTTTTGATAACATAACTTTCTTTAAATGGAGTCATAACATGAATTCAAATGTCACACAATTACTGCATTTAATAATTTGTTCTATTCAAAGAAAGCTTTACTTATATTTTATATGATTTCCAATATGGCATCTGTCTATATATAGACATTTTACATGATAGGAAAAAACTAACAAAACTCTATAATTTACCTTAGAGTATGAAGCAGTTTTTAAAATTAGATTAGAAATAGTATATTTTAAAAATAATCATTACTAAACTAGCACTAATAGTTTCTATTTTTCCCAATCGATTAGTTGCTTTAAAATCTTAAATTCCTGAAAAAGAAGTTGATATTAGCAGAATTCTCACAAATGATCCGTTGGCAATAAGCTTGATTCTGGTGAAATCTGTAAGGAAAAACATTTTGTGGGGGAAATTACTTGGCCTCACAGTTCAAAGAGGAGACCCCACTTCCCAAGGAGCCATTTTAGAACATGCATTAGGTTCCCCTCATTGTTTCTTCCTTTAAATAGTCTAGTTTGGGAAACAAAACATAAGATTTTTAAGTCCTAGATCTTTAACTATAATGGATTAAAACTGAGAAGACAAAGGGCAGAGAGCAAAGCTATAACAAGGCCGGGCACATAGCCGGTGCTGCAGCCTGGCCTGGAGGAATGACGGTTGGGGCTAAAAGGCAGCTCACAGGTCTTTCTCGTGCTTCACTCCATCATCACCAGACAGACCCACGTGTCATTTTTTTAAGGGGAGGCAAGGATATTTTCTTACAACAGACCTAACAAATAAACAAAAAGTAGAATTTTAAAGCAGATTATTTTTATAAATCATTTTTACTACAAAGTAACAAGGTGGGAAAATGAAACAAAAGACATTGTGCACTTTCGTTTTGTATCTGGCAGTTGGAAAACTCTTAGAATGGTGGTTAGCATCTGTCTTGTTAAATAATTCAGTATTCCCATCGTTTTTCATAGAATTCCATTTCATAAAGGCAAACACTTTGGAAAACTTCCACCAGATTTCTCCCTTTCTGTCATCAAATTGTTATCAATGGCTAATGATCCAAAGAAGAGTCTGACTAAGTGGGTTATTCCAAAAATTCAAGCAAATATTTTCCGATATCTCAGGTATTCTCATCTTAATAAAGCTATTTATATTAATATTATATTTAAGAAACTAAGAAACAAATGTAATTATCTAAATTAACTTTGTCAGCTAAAACATAGCTCAAAATTCTGCCGCCAGACATGAGATCATACCCCGTGTTAAACAGTCTGACCATACCCCTAGAAAAGTGAACTTTTCTTAAGTGCTTAAAACCAAAGGGATTGGTTCATTTCAACAACCACATCTTTTTTTACCTGAAACCCAGGAATGATGTGCGTGCCTTACATTGGCAAAATAGAAGGCCCCAGCACTTTAGTTTTTCTAACCTGATCTGCTTTAAAAAATTTTTTTATTTAAAAAAATATTTCTTCAAGCTACAGAAAATCTGATTTCCTATCATATTTATGCTAACGGTCTATGCCATTAGAGACTTGAGATTACCTCAAAAAAGATTCACATAATAGATTTTTCCCTACAGCCATTAGCCTGTGTATTTTTCATAATGAACAATGCAACAAGAAACACAAAATATTTACAGCATTAAATCACATTCCCAAAGCGAATAGTTTGTATAACATGATAAAATTTTCATATGATAATATCGTATAAATATGCATCAGTAAAAATATGCATGTTTCAATTAATCATGAAAAGTTTGTACCACCTCTTTAGGATTTAATTAAGCAAAATGTTTAGGGCATTTTCTTTCCAATCCAATGTTCAGAGAGCTATAGAATATTATTCTACTTTATATCCCAGAAGGAGAAGTTCAGGTTAATTACTCTGAGATGAAATCAAAATTGTATTTATTTATCATAGTGCAGAGAAGTATGAGATCAAGCATTTCTGGAATGCCTTGCTGAAGCTGTTTGAGAAATTGCCTTATCTGGTGACTGTCAAAAATAAGGATGGCCATTGGTCAGTGATCTTCTAGGGACATTTAAACTGGCTATGAATATGCATACTAACTTATCTGACCAGAGCCCAAAGAAAATCAGGAGGGTCTTAACGGACCCCAAGCTATTAAACTGTATATTTACCACCCCTTTGTAACTTTCGTGGGACTTGAAGACTGAGGAAACAATCTGAAAGTATTGCTGGTGGTATTTCTCTCCTCCAACCATTCCTAGAATGCACACGTCCAGATAATCATTTTGAGACCTGAATTATATTTGAGATAAATTGCAAGGCAGTCTGAAGTGCCTCCTCTGTATTCCCCACGCCATGAGACAAAAGTATGGCACAAAAAGAACTGTGTCAATCTATACCTCTTGGAGCAGCTATATTAAGAACAGAATAAAGATGCGGCCTGGAAGCCAGGCAAGAAACTAGGGTTAAAGTTTGCTTCCTTTGCAGTCCTTCTTGGAATACTTAATTCTAAAAACTTTCAAGCAGTCCAATGTAAAAGTGCTACAGAAGCTTCTATACAATTCCCTGTGTTCTAGAAGTGAACACACAAGGAAACCCACAGAAAATTTGGACCACCGAGCTAAATGGAAAATAATCATAACTAGCCATTATTCAGTACTTAGTAGGTGCCAGGCACAGGGCAAAGTTCTCCAAATCCATCATTTAATCTTAATCACAACCACCAGCCTCCAGGTAGATATTAACATTATCCCCATTGTACAGATGGAGAAAGTGAGGTTTAGAGGGTAAGTAATTTGTTCCAAATCACACAGCCAGTAGATACCAAAGCCTGGATGAAGACCAGGCCAGCTGACTCCAGGGCCCAAGCTCTCAACCGCTACACCTGAGAGACCACAGCCTTTCTAAGCATGTGCAATCACACACCATCCACACAGACTTCCCGCCACAAAAAGGACTAAAAGCTGTCACAGATTCTGCTATTCACACAGCACACTGCTCCATGACACACTAATAGACAAAGAAAATAGAATCAAAAAGGTCCAAACGTCTTTGAGGAGACAGCTGAAGTGTTACCCAATCGATATTTCTTGATTGATTTTTTCAAAAAACAAGTTCAAGGCCCGCAGTGCAAGCCTTTACTTTTTTATGACTATAAGACATAGATTTGCTGCAAAAATCCTGTCTGAGCTTGCACCAGCAAGTGCTACTTAAACATTAAATGATGAGACAGAACCAATAGTACCTGGATCTCAAGAAGCAGTCAATCTACCCACAGGCAAGCAATGCTCCTGTCAGCTTTCTCTTTTGTAAGAGGGGGGATCACAGCAGG